AAAGTTTTTTAAAGTAATAAATGCATTTATCCAATACTGCATTATTTATAAGTATATTGTGTTATGCCTAAAAGTTTCATAAGAATTTCCATGTTCTTTAATATTAAAACTTTCATTATGTCAAGAGAAAAATAAAACAAGATATCTTTAATTTATAAGTAATTGAACTATATACCTACCCTGGAAAAAGGACATTATATAATTCTGAAGAACAGCATTTTTATGTATAGAACTGAGGAGCAAAGAGCCAGCATAACTCACTCCTATACATATGCTTCCAATACATTTATATTTGTAAGTAGACTTGTTAACATAATGTATAGGAAAAAGGGAAATTTCTTACTTTTTATTAAAATATTAATGGTAGAAAACGTTTTTATGAAATACTTTTTAAATAGTCTAATAAAACAACTTTAATTAATTGCCTAAAATATTTTACCACTGAAAAAATTAAGTTAAAAATTCCCAACCCTGGTTTTTTGCTCCATAATTAGCTGAATTTCATGGCCCTGATAAATTTTTTTAATAAATATTTTAGAACTTTTGTTCAATCATTATGGAAAGAGATAATTTTACATACATATATATATATATATATATATAATATATAATATAATCCTGCAAAAACAAGAGTAAATGCAATTACTACAATGCATTATTTATACAATTTGATAGAAATAGAGAAAGTATTTTTAACATTAACAAACGTTCGCTTTCACTGAAAGTGTGATAATGTGATGCATAATTTTTGTACTAAATTTATTTATCCAATTTTTTGTGGCTGTTCCTACAATTAGTTCAAAAATGTTTTAACTTGTGACTAAAATTATATATATTTATCAAAAGTATAATAGGATTTCTTTTTCCATTTTTTTGAAGATGTAAGAACAAACTGACGGAATTATTAGTTGGCAAAAATATTGTGATAAGCAAAATACTTTTCTCCGTGTAGTAACGCGTCCAAAAGCGTAACAATAAAAAAACATGTATACAGGTAGTTTCAGGAATACTAGTTTGGTGACATAGTTCACCTATCCTACCACGATCACGTTGATCCTTCAAATACTCTGACATAACGAATTAAAAATAAAGTATTACAGAATGCACAATAAACAACGTTTTTGATTAGAGCTATAAGATAGCAAACAGCACTGCTTACTGTTCTCTTTAAAATATTTGACTAAACTAAATCGTTTATAGTTTTGATTTTAAAAAAGATGGCTTTCGCTAAACCAATAAGAAAATTTTATTTTTTAGATGTTTCGGAATTAAAAATCTAATTAAATATTCGAAAATCGGACCTCGAAATTAGTTTTAAACTATACTCATTTAGCCTCATGTTGAATAACCTATTTTTAGTGCCTACGCTATACCCGTTCCGGAAGGCAGACATATTCACACACAAAATGTTACTATAAATATAGATATTAAGTGTAATATAAATATTTAAATACTATACTTAAAAATAGAGTTAGAAACTGCTTAAAAAATTATATAAAAAATTATACATATAACGCTTCCAAACTACGAATAACAAAGAAAGCAAGAATAGTTAGCTTGCTTAATCAGTGTGTTTTACCAAATCTTTCAACAAAAAATAAGCACCTTCCAAGTACTTTTTAGGCACTCTAAAAAATTTAAGCACTGTATACATTAATAAAATGCAAAATAGTTTTCAGAATTTTGTTCAAATTATAACAAAAAAAAATCATCTAATAATTTGCCTTATGAATATTTTTATCAGTTAACTGCTAAAAATCTGTTTTCTTGCTAGAAGTGTATATAAAATGTTATGTAACATTTTTTATAACTTTTAAAATTACTATATTACTTTAAAGAGAATTAACTTTTTTTCTTTACAAAATATATCTCCGAAATCATGACAAATTATAGCTAATTTTTCATTTACTTTTATGATTTAAATAAATTAAGTTATTTTAAAGAAAAAAATAGTGAAGGAGTATGCACGGTCACACATTCTTCGGCAAAAGCTTAACGACCAGAAATTTACTTATCCGTAAACTAGGTTAAAAGCGTTATGAACTGATTATTTCAAAGTCTATAAAAAATAACAGATGTGCTCATTTCTAAATCATTGTGTTACTTTAAATCGGTTAAACTTAATTAAAATAATTTCTTAGAAAAAAAAAATCCGTACCCTTCTTTCTATAATGTCAGAACTTTGAGTCAACGCATTTCAAATGATTTAGTGTTTATTTTCGCAAGCATAAAAATTTCCTAATTTTCGACAGTAATCTAATATAAATGCGTGAAATAATTTGAATAACAACTGTAATGCTTCTTATAATAGATTTAAATTTTATGTTTAAGTTGTAACGTACAGAAATAAATATATTAGACAGTGGAAAAATTGTAAAGAAAAATATTTTCAGTTTCGGAAGTGTCAAAAACGATATACAAACGAACTGACAAGAATTAGTTGACACAATAAAAATGAATTCCTTTTTCTCCTTTTTAATCGTTAACTTGCTAAAAAGCTAATTACCATAGTAAATCGGATTAAAGTTGTCACAAATTAAACTGAGACATTTTAATCTAGTTTCAAATTTAAAAAAAAATTTCCTCTTTTATTTCAATTCGCGCGTTTGAGAAAATATTTTATTTTCTGATGAAGAACGAAATTTAAGTATTAAATTAGTTTCTGCTTGAATGTGTTTGTAGAGAATGTGCTGGATTTAATATAGCTAATGGAATATTGAATCAATATCAAGTAGACAAAATAAATAAATAAATTATCGATACGATTTAAATAAATTTTCTTGTTCATAACTCAGCGTTAAAATAAGATTGATACGAAAAAAAGTTATCGCAGATTTATAGGATGCATATTTTTGGAATTTTTTATAAGAATTGGGTAAGAAAGATATGCATGACTTGGAAATTACAAATCAATATTTAAATATTAATTGCAAAGAACATGTCCCCCTTTGCTCCTGTTTATAATGATAAACTCTGAGTGTAACATTATACACTGAGAAAAAAAAGGTATGGTCAAAATTACCAGAATATAGTAAAATTTACCCTGTTTCTAGCTTTATGAGAATACCAAAAAGGTTAATTTCTGGTAAACCGTTATCATATGAACAGGAAAACTTACCAAATGAATGGTTCAAATACCGTATATTTCAGATTTGTTTTATTTCATAACCGTTGTTGATCAACTGACCCAATTTTGGGTTTACGGCAACTAATGTTCCTGTAGCTTCGTAAATTTTTATTCCAATCCAGAAGACAAGGGAACTCCTGGATCAGAAATTGGGAGAAATTTTCCTTCGTGGAGGTCTTTTTGATGAAACAAACCAGCATTTGCGTTACATGTAGAGAAAAACAACAAAACCTCCCACGGTTAGCCTGACGGTTAGGGGACTCTAACTCATGATCCGTCTACTACTGAGGATATTTTACGTACTGTGGTGGGTGCAAGCTAGGTGCGGAATTCGTATCGACCAGCTATCGCTAGGATTTGAACCCGGTTCATCTCATTGGAAGGCGAATGCTCTATCCCCTTAGCTCCAAGGCTTATACAGTTTTATTAACCAGAAACATTATTTTTTTTTTAAATTTATGTCAAAAATTGCCCAATCCATGATCTGTCTACCACAGAGGATATTTTACGACAATAGTAATCGGTGTGAATTGGATGCAGAAACATCGTTGAGATTCACACACATTGGGAGGTGAACGCTCTGTCCTCTACGTCGTGAACTGTCGTCCTACGTCGTCCTCTCTGTCGTCTACGAGATTCATTTCCTCAAACAAATGACGAATTAAATTTCTTAATTTGACGAAATGCTTACCCAGAGCAACTCCCAGGAAACTGCTTCGTGGAAACTGCTTAGTAACGAAGGAAATTTCATGAATTTTTATAACTCCCCCCCCCATTGCGTTTGTTGTTTTAAAATGTATTTAAAATATCTTTTTGAATCATCATTTTCTTAATTCCTTCAATTCATAACTTGAAATGGAAAAGTATGTAGCAAAACTGAACAAAGTAGTAGCTATCAATGCAAATAATGGAATTCGTCTACTTACCCAAGTATAAGGTCTTAAAGTTGATAGTTCTTTCCAGTCAAAACAGGATGATGGATCGCCATCTGAAAATGCCATGCATAATAATATCAACCAATCAGAGGGTTCGCTTTCTTCAGGGCTTACTTGGTACTTTTCTGGCTCTGTAAGGAGGAAAATTATTAAACATTAATCTTGTAAAACGTAATCAAAAATTTAGGAAAAAAATCACGAGAAGAAATAATTGAATGCTAATCAAGATCTATTCAAATAAGAGTTTTTAATTTAGTTTTACTTTAATCCTATATTCTACACTCCGAGAAAGAGAATTCTTTTTTTGTAAAGCGCTTGTTAGATTTGTACATTGTTCTTTTTTTGTTAAAAAGTTTCTAATCTTTTTACAATAATATGCATAGCTTTTACTTTAACATTATTGAGTTTATTTTTTCCAAATAAATACGAGTTCTACACTGCGAAAAAAAAGTATAGTCAAAACTACCAGAATATTCGTATAAAGAATAAACTTAAGGCTTATAGAATAACTACCAGAATGAACTTAACTATGTTTCTGGCTCTATTTGAACACCAAAAAGCTAGGTAATTTTTGCCACAGCGCAACGGCAATTATTTTGAAAAAATGAACAATAAAATATGTTTCTATAATACATGATAAGCCGACCGGCCTGTGTAAGGGTTAGGGAACTGCCCTTGCATCAGAAAGGTTCTGAGTTCGAATCGCGGGCAAGGCATGGATGTTCTTTTCTTCTCTGTACTATCTGTCCTTACTGTGGGAGCAACGTTGGCCCACCTAATATGGTGCCCCTTATAGAGAGGCCAACGAATCTGCCCTGTAAATGCCTGAATTGACGAAAAATGTTAACACTGGTGGGCATTGGAAAAAAAAAAATACATGATAAAATTTGATAAATGTGGCAAAATTTGGCAATTTTATCAAGCATAATACCTTACAGCATGGTATAAAAACCTTTTGTTTGTTTAAATTACTTCTCAGTCTTGCAATTTGTTACTTAATTTGTGATAAAAAGAATTATAATTTTTAAAAAACAGAATTCCCTGTAAACTCTTACCATATAAACGGAAAATTTACCAAATGAATGGTTTAAATACCTTATATTTTCATTTTATTAACCAAAATTATATTTCTTTTATTTATTTATTTTATTAGAAATGACATTTCCATACAGTGCGGTAATTTTACCAGAAGTTTTTTTCCCCGTGTATAATTTCACTAAGTATGCCCTGTTGAGATATATTTTTATTTGCTTTCTATTTCCTATTCTTTCCTTTTGCATCAGATAATATTTTTAACAGAGTAAAGTTACTTTGTTACTTTTAACACGCTATATAGAAGCTACTACATTTTATTGTTTTTAATAACTAAAACTAAAATTTGAGATTCACAAACGCAATCAACTTTTCTGACATTCAATTCTTTATTCAATCAACGCTATTTTTTTGTTATAACTATTTCGTCTAGATTATAATGGAAAAACATTTATGAATTTTTCCAAAATATGATATTTTGTAGCATAAAATAAGGGCAGTATTTATTATTAATACAAATGTTCGATAAGTGCAGGATAATAAGAAACAATTTGAACACAAACAGTATTATTTCGATGCATATTAAAATATCACAAACAAATTGAAAACATTACTTGTAACAGATTTACGAATTTTCAAAGCTACTAATTATGCCTATATTTCAGAGCTGTAAACGCGTCACACAAATTTCTGCCATGGGGTATAATATTTCTATTGATTTTTGTCCAATTCAATGCCATAATGAGAGTTAGGACGAAACCCTTGTTTCCAAAAAGGACTAAACAATTCACTCAATAGAATACCAGTCTGCTAAAAAAAGGGGAGCAAATTTCAAGTAGTAAGAAAATTAGGAAATTCTATCTTGCGGTTTAGATAGGGGGATCCCAAAATGCGGTCAGCGGAACCTTAGGGTTCCGAGAGAGGGTCACAGGGGTTCCAATAATTGAACCTTTCAAAATGAAAACCTTAAAGAAAATCAGTTATGGTTTTTAACACTTGTGGTTAAAGTTAGATCAAATCAACCTATTACTTGTTTGATATTTCCATACCCGTGAATTCAACTGTCTTACATAAAATCTAATTTAAAGACTATGCTGATGAACTTTATTCAGTCAGGGTTTCATCGAAAGAAGGTTCATCATTTAGGATTCCTCAGCTTGAAAAAATTTGGGAATCGCTGGGTTAGATCTGTGAGCGGGGCCAGCAGGAGGAAGACACAACCACTCAATCATAGGTAGGGTTGTTCGCTTGGATCAATATATTTAGCATTGGCAATTTTAAAACTCTGATTTTTGGTTTAAAACAAAAGTGGGTATAAAGATAGTATATGTTATTTTCTGTCACCTCGTAAAATAAACACTTGCAATTGAATTAATCATTTTATTCAGTGTTTAAAAAAGAAAATTAAAAATTAAAACAGAAAGACGATGGTACGAACTTAAAAGAGACATAACCATGATGAAATAAACACTTCGTACTGTAAAAAAAACCTGATGCAAAACTGTGATCAAAGGAAATAGTTGACTATTTATCCGTAAATTAAGCAAAAGAACAAAATAAGAGAGCATGCGTACAGCAACAATTTAAAAAAATTTTTATATCATGTAAATATAACTAATTTTTCACGCTAATACCTAAGCTTAAAAGGAAAAAATAATCGTGAATTAGTTGGCGAAAATTGCAGAAAAAGTGTTATTAAAAATAAAAAGCTATATATAAATGTTATGTCACAGAAACGATTGAACTGATGTATTCTAAATTTTAGTTTTCATTAGCAAACGATTTTTTAGATAAATGAAATGTTAGAACTTCATAAAGTTATATTGCAATTATTTAATTAGAGAAATTAGGAAATTTACCAAGTTTGGTTTGCTGCTTAGTGTTCCACTTGGAATAAAGTTGATAAGCCAAGCACTTAACGAAATTTGCGTAATCAATAATTGATTCGAAGTTAAGGAAATTGTGCAATCAATAGTTTATTTTAAGTGTATAATTGCAAAAATGCAAACGATTTTTTTAAGCCATAGCTTCTACACGAAGGTTTTTATAAAAATGCAGGTTAACACGGTATAATATTGAAGAAAATAGCTTAATTCAACCGCGTTAGTACTGTTTGAATTTTTTTCGATAATCTCAACTGCTATAGAATTACTTTTAAAAATAAATAGGGCAATCTCTTTGAATTCGTAAATATTCTATAACAGCGAAATTAAATTCTCAATATAACTCTATAATAACGAACTTTGAAAAATCAATATAAAATACAAACTTTATACCAATTTTAATGATTAATATAATAATAAAAGCTTAACTTAATTTGTTATACTTCTTCTTCTTAGTTTTTAGATAAAAGAAAAGAAGGAATTGTTAAAATCTTGAGACTAAACTATGATAATTGATCCCAATGAGAATTACAATCAAGTGTTCTTTTTTCCGGAATATGAATGCGGAAACAAGCAAAATTGTTTGAGACTGATATTATAAACGAGACTGGTTTCGTCTTTTTCAGCATGATATTTTATATTGGAAATCCAAAAATAAAATTTTCTTTAATGCATGAATAATTTTCTGGAAATTATTTATGAGCTTCTCCTTAAAATTTATTCAAGTATCTGAAATTGAAAAGCTGGAGTTGATTCCATTTGCATAAGCTTCGAGTATTTAATCTCAAAACAAAGCAATGATTCCATTACGAAATGGGAAAAGTCATTTACCAATTTTCCCGTTTAGGATTTAATTTAGCTTTCTCTATTTTAATGGATGCGAACTTAAAGAAAAATATTCAGTAGGGAAGATTGATAGGGAGGTATAAGCAAAGAAAATAATCAAAGAATAGAAGTCCTGGAAAATTTATCGATCAGGTAAGGGAAGTCTAAGTTTCGGAATATTTTAATCGAATAAAGAAGAACAACTAAAGGCTCATTGTATGTCTGCTGTTAGTCAGATAAATTAAAAATGGCATAAACTATTTCATACAAACAAATAAAACAACAATCAGAAGGGAAGTTAATAGAGATGAAAAAGTAAGGAAAACAATGAAATAGAAAAAATTAAGAACAGAAGTTAAATTGTAGCCTCTGAATTTTGGTATAAATCAGATACGAAGAGTTAAGGTTATGAAATATTTTTGTCCAAGAATGACGAACCGCAAAAAGCATACGGTATTATCTTAGATTAGAATACCAAATTACTGGAAAATTCTCAAATAAATTATTGAGAAAAACTATGTCATACAAAGAATAAAATGAAACAATATTCAGTGAGAGAAGAATTAATACAAATGAAAGTAAAGAAAACACTAAAATAAAGAAAATAAAGCACATAAGTCAAGAAATGAGCTCCGTTCTTCAACATAGATCAGATACAAACTAAGGCAAACAACGTTAAAGAGCACAAAAATATTTATATAAATATTTTTGTGCTCTTTAACGTTGTTTGCCTTAGTTTGTATTTTAGCACAAAGGTCACCCACTTGTGTATTTATAGATCAGATATGGAGAAACTGAAATATTTTTGATTACGAATGAAAAACGACAAAAAGGAGTACAGCAAGCGTCCTGGATTAGATGACCAAATGACTGTTAAAAAATTAAAAATGGCATAAACTATGTCTTTGAAACTATAAGATAAGAAACATTCAGCATCGAAATTTAATTGGAATGAAAAATAAAGCAAACACTAAAGTGAAGAAAAATAAGAACAGAAGCCATGGAATGACTTCTGTTCCTTGGCATAGATTGGATTCGGGGAGTCAAAATTTTTGAAATATTTATAAAAATGGAAAATATGGCACAAATGGCTCATAGCAAGTGTCTTAGATTAGATTACTAGATTACGGAGAAATTGTAAAACAAATTAAAAATGGCATCCATGCAAACAATATACGATGAAATAAATTACGAATAATTTATAGGAGGGAAAACAATAATGTAAAGAAAATCAAGTTAAGAATGAACCTCAGTTCTTTGGCATGGATCAAATATGGAAAGTAAAAGTTATGAAATATTTACATAACTTACAATAATAATAAACGACGAACAATAATAAACGCATAGAAAAGTGTTTTGAATTAGATTACCAGATTACTAAAAAAATTATT